ATGAATATACTTGTGTAGCTATACATAAAAGTAGACACTGATGATTTGATGTGAGAGACGCATGCACAGCTGTGCCTGTGTGGGGAGTTACCGAAACTCACACTCACAAAACAACACCCCCCCCCCCCAAATCTCACTTACTATGTTGCTTTAACACTGTAAATTGCACAACTTTCCCCCCTCTAAGGCTCTGAAAAAATGTCACAGAATTTCAAATGCCATAAACAAAGTCCTTTTCTCCCCTGTCTGCATCATATATAGAGAGAGTGACTTTGTGGAGACCACCCTATCTTAGCCTTATTTTCCATCATCATCACTCTTCAAAACCCACCTCCCCCCATTCATGCTAAAAGCAACTTTTCAATTTTCATATGCATAATCATGCCATTTTAGTATGACCATATTTGCAATATTAGTGAGACTTGAGATGAGGTAATTGACATTTGACAGATACTTTAGGGATACATGCATATTGTTCTCTATAATCCTTCGGGTTAATAATAATAATCGTTGATGTGAAAAATGAGATTAGGTTATTTTTGACAATTTGTTATTTTTGGTTTGGATGCAGAGTTGTACGATAGTTTAGTAGAATTGATATGCAGTTTAGAGGTTGAACCATATTTATATGATGATTTATATAGACACTAGTGTTGGCGTCAATAAATTGATAGATTAAATAGATCTAGATGTCAGATAATATATTTAGTCGATAGACTATATGAATATGTCAATGATCATGCCAAATATTTGAGACTGATAAAAAGATATAAAAATTTAAATTTCAATAGACGGTGGAAGAAATAACAACCGAGATATAATTTGTAAAGAAAATCTAGCTTGTTAGGAGTGTGGTGCTTAAGCCTGAGTTGAGAGCTTGAGGGTATTAATATGTCACCCGGAGTACAGGCATTTAGGGCATACACTTGCAAGCATATGACCTTTCACACGTCAAGTGAATGAAATATTATCACCAGTTGTACAGAAATTGATTTATGACAACAACTGGCACCACCCCACTTGGGGGACACTTGGAATTTTTATGGGACCACCACAAAAATCATTGATGGGAACACTATCATCCAATCTCAAATCCTCATAATAATGCATTTCCTCTTTCACCCTATTCACCATTTCTATACATACACGTATGCATACGCTAACACACAACAAAGAAGAATATAACTGCACCGCATTAAGTAGCTGATGTACTCAAATCTAACTGTATAATATAAAGAAAAATGAAAAGAAAAGCGTGTTTTACCACTGTGCAATAACAAGTAATTTTCAATAATTGAGGCATTGGGAATGGTACTAAAAGAACAAACCTTGCAGGTCCATCCCCAAATGACTGCAGCTCTGCAGCTTTAATTTAACCACGACTCTGCGCAGATTCAAACCTCAAAATATGAGTAACCAACCAACAGTGGTCAAGGGGATGATAAGACAATGTCTTATGCATACGGCTTGTAGTCGATGTTAACGATGCCGGCGACGGGGTTGGTAATAAAAGCAAAGGCCTCCGGTGAATGAGTAACGGCTGATGGACATCCCGCACAGTGATAGGCAATCTTCACGAGTATGCTCCTGCCGGTACATGGAGGGGATACGGGATTTCGGGGTCCCGTAAATGTCATATACTGATATTAATCCAAAGAGATTTACGTACCATAATTCCATCTTGGTGAGAAGTCATTTCACAAAATCCGTTTAGCGTCTTACAACTTATAAACCTTAGGCTTAAACATGTTTCTTAATTTACTAATTACAATTCCATTTAGTCAAGGCTGCCATTTTCCATATGATCATAGACCAAAAGAAGCTCTTTCTTGCGCCTGCAATGACCGAGAAGCCGCTCCAAATTCTTATTATGCCTTAGCCGGAGATAAACAAGGGGAAGCCGTTATACCGACTAGAAATTTCAAATTCACTAGGTATTTTTTATTGATTATTTAATTCACACTAGCTAAAATTTTATAATTTCACACCTCCTAAATTTCTAACATAACTTCTAAAATTCGTTCCCATGACATAAAATTTTATGTCCGAGCTTAGTTTTCCCATGCTAACAATGAATTTCAAAAAATTTCAAATTGGTCCTCTCTTTGTAAAAAAAAAGGTAAAATTGAAAAATCAATGAAATATTGAGGACTGATTTTCTATTATACCTGAAGAATATAAAGAACAAAAATGGCTTATTAGAAAAACTTTAAAATATTGAGGTTGAAATTGGAAAAAGAAAATAATGGTCCAATTGAAATATCAATGAAACAGTGATGACTAATTTTTCTATTATTTCTTGAGAATATAAAGAATAAAAAAGACTCATTTGAAATTTTTAACCTAATGAGGTTGTCATTGTAAAAAATAAGGTGAAATTGAAAAATAGTAAACTTTTGAGGAATACTATGCCTTAAGTGAAAGATGAATTTCTTTAGAAAAAGTGACAAATGCAAATCATTTATTGGTATGAATTTTTTCATACTTTTTGAAAAATAAACATATACCATTTTTTATATTTTTTTTAAAGTTTAAGATTGAAACTGAAAACTAGTGAAACATTTTGGACTAATCTTATTATTATACTTCAAGTAAATAAAGATTTTTTTTTTTTTGAAAAAAATGATGCACATTGTCACATCAGATTCCTTAACAGAAATAGATAAATAAAATATTTCATGTGACAATATGTAAAATGATATTATAAGATTTTTTTCCCGGTTTCTAAAATTTTACTTTGAATAATCCAGATCGATTCGGATATCACAATTAATTTTAATGTGTGAGTCTACCAACAAAAATTTTTGCATACATAAAATTCAAACTCAAAACATGTTTAACCGATATCACGTTGTTCTCTTTATATTATCATCTCTTTGAATGGAGCATAAGCTCAAGAATTACAGATCAGTAAGATCGCAAGTAGGGGGCCATGAAAGTCCTTTACAAGGATAGCATCGAGCTCAGCTGGGGTGAATGAAAATAACCAATGAACCATCATCACGTGGAGCAAACTTAGCCAGAATGTCGGCAGCGCTGTTTATTTCTGTTTTCACTAAACTGAATTGAACATACCAGGCGTTATCAAGAAGAGTTGCGACCCATCGGACTTGAGAGAAAGAGCTTCCCGCCGATGCTCGGAGTAAGAGGTGATAAGCATCACTATTGTCAGTTTGTACCAAGACCCGCTCAAAACCGTTAGCCCACGCCAGAAGAAGTCCATGACAGATACCCCCAAAGTTCAACAGAGAGAATCGGAGAGAATCACAGGTCTATGTTGAAAGCAAACAGGAAGTTTCCCAGACAGTCTCGAAAGATACCTCCAGCAGACGCTTTTCCATTGGTGGTCGAAACTGCTCCGTCAGTGTTAAGGCAAATGCAGCCCTCGTCGGGAGGACTCCTTTGAACAAAGACAGGGGCTCAGATAGTAGTAATAGAGGAGTTGGCTATTAAAGAAGTAAAGTATTTGTTAGCACATTTGTATAATGTATAATGTTATCTTAAAGTATGACACAAAATTAAGTGACCGATTATGTTATATGTGTTATATGTATACCATAAGTTGTATTTATAATTTGATGAGGGGTAAAATTATAAATCCTTAAAAGGTTGACCTAATATTCAATAGGTAATGGTTCTCAAGAAATAGGTTAACTTGTATTACTCTTATCCCATCAAAGAGTTTTTATTACAAGAGCAAACCTATCATATTGGGAGATCCCAACCATAGAAAGATTCAAATATATCAACTTATCAATTAATTTAAGTACGTTTTCGTAAATCTAGTATTCTATTATTGATGATTTGGTAGGATTAGATCTATGATTGTTTATTATATTTATTTATGATTTAATTCTAACATTTGATCCACCCAAGTCCCGCTTGGAGAATAGAATAAGGTTCGACTGGAATTCCTTGAAATACAATCATGTTTCACCCTTTCCAGAGATGCTAGACCGTGGTTGCAAAGAGGAAATTCCATGGACAACAGACAAGGGTGCAAACAGAAGTAGAACAAATGTTGTCCAAAAGCCAGTCTTGAAGAGGAAGAACATAGAAATTTGGCTTGTGCCCATGAGGAAGCAAAGATTGCCACACGTTTTGAGCAACAGTACAATCTCAAAGAATGTGAAGCAGCATTTCGTCGAGAGCTTTACAAATTTCACAAGAAGCATCTTGCGTAAAACCTCTGTTACTGTGGTTGTGATTCGTGAAGAGTCTATCTCGATATGCGAGCCATAAAAACATTTAATTTTTTTGGGAACCTACAGAGACCAAATTAGTTTCCAGCTACCATTTTGGGCGTTCCAAGTATGTTGGAAGGAGGTTTCCAGCTACCATAAAAACCTCTGGAGGATTGCTCCTCGTTTCCGGTTAATCTTCTCTAAGCAGGGCCGTACCACGGGGGATCAAATAATGATTACTGATAGGTAAATTCTCTAATAATTACCGAGTTTTGATTAAGACCAAGTCCAAAAGAATTACTGAGTTTTGATTGGTATTTGGTAGGGAATGAAAACAAGATATGTGGATGATGCTTCATCATGAACCGTATGATTAGCACAATTGCTGGAGGAAAAACAAGCGTTTGTTTTCATGTTTCCGCGTTTATTATAAACTGTTAGCCTTTTACAAAATGTTCAAGGGCCTAGTCCCTGTTATAAGGCAGACTTGATGGACATTTTCTTTTTCAATGGTTTTCCATAGCAGTGAAAACAGAAAAAGTAAGAAAAAAGTGAGGGTAGAAATAGAATCAATGCCATGTAGTTGATGCAAGTGTCATAATTACTGCACAAACCCTTTCTCCACGAAACAAAAAATTACCTCTTGAGGAGAGTTCTCATAATTCAGTTCCCACAAAAATGGTATTGCAGACCTCAGAATCAGATCCCTGGTCCCAGGTTTAGATCCACGGTCACGGTTCAAATGCATGGCAATACATGATTGAAAGAATAAGAAAAAAAATCCCAATTTCAAAGGTAATCATCAGAGCTTTATTCATAAGGTTCTATGGTTTATTGATTGATTTCACACAAGAATGGGCCATGACATAGAATTGGGCAGCCAGCTAGCTTAGTTACATCCAGCTGAAGTTGCTGCAACTTTAAGGAGTATGCCAAAGAGTGAAAAGGGGGCAGAGAAAAAGGGGCTGTGGTCACTATCCACAACATGCACATGAGAGGGTGGCCATTTCTTTATCATCGCCTCCTGCTGGTCCGGTTTTATGACATTATCGTGCATTGTCCGGACGTATACGCGCCTCACTTTCTCCACCGAGTCGTCCTCTTCTTTGAATCGAGCACTCATCAGTGCTAGGATCGGTCCTGGCCTTAAAAGCATCGCTGCTAGAGTCGAATCCTGCACCGGCCACCATTACATAAATTCGAATAAAATGATACTACCATATGCCAAAAAGGAAGGGGTGTGGGGTAGAGTCTGCCATGGCAAAGCATAACATAGAAGAGAGTCAGAGACCAATGTAATAAATGTCAAACTCAATTAACCTCTTGAGGGCTCATTTGATAGATGATTTTACGTTGGAATTCCTTTTTCACAATGGCACTGGTCGGAGGCTGCTCCGCTCCCAATCCAAATCCTAGTTCGTACACATCACCAAATTGGGATAAGTCTGGTACTCCCTGTTTAACATTTAATAATTGCTTACTTTTCAGGGATAATCATCGAGCCTTTTTAACTAAAATCATTTAATTAAGCACTAAATCACATATTGATCATCTTAATCATTGCAGGTAGATTAGCTACAGTAGGATTATGAAAAAAGAACAAATGTAAAATGCATGTAATTAGTGCATATTCTGCTTCATCAAACAACAACTGCATGCATTTCATGCAATGACTGAAGGAAGGGAGATTCATATCCATTGATCTTCCTTTTAGTCATCCCATTCAAATAGATCACACAAGGGTGAAGTTTTAGTTTTGGGAAACTGATAGGGAAAAGATTCTATTGGTTGTAAGCTAAAAAAAATTTGAATCTGTACTGTGAAAAAGGATCAAAAAAACAAATTTGGGTTGGCCTTGTAAGCTAAAAAAATGGTACTGTATGTCGTATTTGCAAGCTGTGAACCTCCATCGGTTACTGAAAAAAGGTTAACGAACAGTGAAATGTAACGTCTGTAAAGTTTTGGATTCCTACAAATATATAATATAATATAATATTACAGATAGTATACCGATTTAACACATGGAAAATATGAAATGGCTGACAGCCAAGCCTTCATGAAAACAGTTGGCACTTGGCAACCATGAACCACCTCTTGCCATTTACCAACCCCTAATAATTCAAACACCAAAGGTGCATACCAGGCAAAACAAAAGAGAAAAAAGAACCCAGAATTCAACACAGCACCATTTAACAGGAACAACAAAGGTTAGAGAAGGTTTTTACATCTTTGATATCTTGGTCAGTCAAGTAGCCTGATTTCAGCATGGTGGCCGCAACATACACCGCCAGACGGATTTTGTTGGGGAATTTGTGTGTGGCTTGCGTTACACTTAACCCTCCAGCACTTTGTCCTACCAATATCACCTGCAAATCATATAAGATCAGTGCTCATCCGAGTATTTTGGCTGCACATAATTTAAAAAGAATAAGAACCTTATCGGTATCAGGCAACGCAGACATGAAGTCCATGAGAGGCTGATTATAATCATCGAAAGACAGAATCGAATCGGCATCGGACCGATCATTTCCGGAACCTTTGAGGTCGATGCATGAAACCATGTACCCACAATTCTCCATGAGGCACCTGATTTTGTACCAGCACCATGCTCCTCCACCAATACCATGAACCAACACAAAGTGTGTTCTCTTCCTGTCTGCTGCTATTTCCCTTTCTTCCATACTTGTCATCCTCACCTCCTCTCCCATTGTTTTTAATTTTATCTCTTTTTTTGTTTTGCTTTGGAATCTCAGACACTTGCTGGTTCTGCATTTATAGTTGGGATAGTCTGAAAAGGTAAATGATCTTCTCTTCATCTAATCATCATTAGAAGTTTTTTTAACAAGGTGTGCTTGCGTGTAGGCTGCTTCATCATAAATCACTTATCATAAAGTGTCGACGGTTGAGATCTGCGCTCGAAAAAAGTATCCTAAATAAATAATTATTTAAAGAAATAGGGTTCTCCATAAATTATTTAAAATAACTCTCAAAATTTTCATATCGAACGATCTCGCGGCTTGTAAACTGCGTATTAAATCCTCGCACCTTCTAACACGCAAGATACATTCGACGTGGGCATACTTTTCAAATAAGCTAATAAAACAATTGGATAAAATAACCTCGCGCATTATGAAGCACGAGGTAGCCTTATGATCCAAAATATCGAGAGATTTATAGAGGACCTCGCGACTTGTAAAGCGTGAGGTTCTTTCGAATTCAGCAGCCTAATTTGAAACGTAGAAATTAAATGAATATAACAAATAAATATAATAATAATAATAATTAATAATATTGATTATTAAATATAATATATAAATATAGTGATTAAAATAGATATTTTATAAAAATAATTATAATATATTTTTTAAATTTTGAAATAATGAAAAATTATATGTGTAAAATATTAAATATAATAAATAATTAATAATATTATAATTATAATATATTTTAAAATTTAAAAGATAAAATCTTGTAGCAATCTTGCATCTTACAAATCGCGAGGTACTGGAAACAGAATAAATTTCGCGTGTTTTCAAATAACTCCAATCCTGCAGTATGTGAGTTGTATTTAAAATCGCGCTTCTCCGGATGCGAGAAGGGATATAAATAGCGCCCTCCACTCATATTCATCACCACACTCATCTCTTTCATATATTCAAAGATTTAAAGATTTCATATCATGACGACGAATCTATTAAAACATGATCAAAGTCATGTATTCAATTATTGGAGGCGAAATGATGAGGTAATTTAATTAATATTATTTTATATTTTTATTATTTATTTATTTAATTAATATTTAAATAATTTTTCAATATTTATATTTTGTAGGGATATGAACGTGTATTAGAGTGTCATATAAATCGTGTGACACCGCTCGATGCAAATATTATTGATTATTTTACATTTAGCGGGTTTCAGATATATCAGTAGTGTAACTGGTGAAGGTGTGAAGTTGCATCCTCCACTTATAAATGTGTTGATAGAAAGATGGAGAGTGGACACGCACACGTTTCATTTACCGCGTGGGGAGGCAACTATTACCTTGCAATATGTTACATTTCATCAGGGAATGCCTATTGATGGAGTATCTATTACTGGTGTTGTCGGCGCCCCTAGAAATGTATGTGAGGTATTACTCGGAATTGATCCGCCTGATGATGATATTTTATATTTTTATTATTTATTTAATTAATTAATATTTAAATAAATTTTCAATATTTATATTTCGTAGGGATATGAACGTGTATTAGAGTGTCATATAAATTGTGTGACACCGCTCGATGCAAATATTATTGATTATTTTACATTTAGCGGGTTTCAGTTATATCAGTAGTGTAACTGGTGAAGGTGTGAAGTTGCATCCTCCACTTATAAATGTGTTGGTAGAAAGATGGAGAGTGGACACGCACACGTTTCATTTACCGCGTGGGGAGGCAATTATTACCTTGCAATATGTTACATTTCATCAGGGAATGCCTATTGATGGAGTATCTATTACTGGTGTTGTCGGCGCCCCTATAAATGTATGTGAGGTATTACTCGGAATTGATCCTCCTGATGATGAACGCGATGGTAGAAAAATAAAAATTAATTTTTTGGATGAAAATTTTACGTACCTACCCATAATGTAGAGCATGAAGTGAAGGAGGTAAATATAAATGTTTTTATCTATGAATATTTATTAATATTTCAATTTATTTATTTAATTTTTTGAAAATTAAGTAGTTATATTATTTTATTAATTTTCTGAAGCAATTTGCACGTTCGCATATACTATGAGTTATTGGGGGATTTTAATATCAGACAAATCCTGAATAAGGTGCATCTGATATGGTTAAATCATTTGCAAAATTTGAGTAATTCAAGAAATATAAGTTGTGGATTGACAATTTCGGCATTATTGTTTCGATAGCTTTGTAGAGTCGTAGATCCGATGAAAAATGTTATTGGAGGGTGATTATTGTTATTGTAGTCATGGGCCTAAATTCGAATGTCATTTTATGCCCGATCCTTAAAACACATGTCCCATATGAATATCCGTTACTTAAGAAGTAAAAAATATTTTTTATATATTTTTCTATGAGTTACTATGAGTTATAGGTGGACTGATGAAACCTCTCACGCTCACTTACCAACACATCAACGAGACTTCAGACTCTTGATCGATAAGTTTGGACATCAGGTAATAAAATATTTTTCTTCGACTTTTATCTTATAATTTTAGAATAATTTAATTTATTTGAGGTTTTTAGCTAACAAAGTTATGTAATTTTAATTTTATAGTTCTTGTGGACACCTTAATGCGATGTTGTTATTGTTGATTATATACCACATGAGATTTGAGTGACTAATGCGCCCGTGTACATCGTGTCAGTCCCGCTGATCCTGTATGAGATAGTCAAGTGACATACTATCGAGCGCATCCTTTAACAATTTAACTGTGTCCAATCGATTCCGCCACATCCACCTTGCTTGGATGAATTGTATCGATTGACGAGAAAAGGGAACATGGAAATTAATTGGGCGGACCATAATGTGTTATATCTGAACGAGTGGGTTTGAAGATTCGAGATGACGTCCATGACTCAACTCATCTTCGACCACAGTGTAACATACAATTATATGTGGTGGTACCAAGAATATGGGATGCCACATATATTGACCAATGAGGAGTGAGCGTGATAATTATATGTTCCTCCACAGAGTCGCCCACGGACAGAGAAGCAACGTGGGGGAGTCAAGGTAGAGAAGAAGAAGACAACAATATGATCCTCCTCATCGAAAACAACACAGGGACCTCCCTAGACATCGGTGACACGCCCTGACCCTATTTTCAACCATTCAACTCTATTTGCATTTCATCAAATTGGGCAATTTTCAGAAGGTTTCATCATCGACGTCTTTGACCAGTTGAATTCACCACCGACACAATTGGCGACTAACTTTGGATCCGGTATTGTTGAGTAGACACCGTCGTAGAGCATATTCTACATCGGTTCCGATTCCAGTACTAGTGGTGGATCGATTCCAGTACTAGTGGTGGATCGATTCCATATACAACTACCTGTCCTGATGATGATATTGCTGAAGATGAAGAGGAATCGCAATAACATCCGTTAGGTTCTTAAAATAAAACAACCGTAATTCAGAATTATCAGGCAACAACTCAACTAAAATTTCAATGAGAGAAAACCTTATTGTTTTGGTATATTTCAATGGCGAAATGATCGGTGATGCATCTCTCGGTGTCGTATTTCAGTCTGCACACACTGTGACAATAACTCTACCAATGAAGTTAACATATAACAAGTTGATGAAGGAAGTGAAGAAAAATGTCCTATATGCCCGCGGTACAAAATTGTTACCAGTATGCCAAGTTGGAGACGAGCAGAGTTCGACTTTGATCCAATTGTTGATTGTCCGGTGATAAATTTGAGAAATGAATTCAATTTGTTAAGCACACGCGGTACACAGAATGATCTAGGTGCATCATCGTCTTTTATGCCAATGTATTCTTGCGTTGCTAAATTCGAGTTTGACTTGAGCATGCCACCAACACAACAATCCACGTTTAACACGTTCGATGATTTTTCATCTGGGCGATATTCAATATATATCCCTTCTACAAATAACGTCTCAACACAAATGTGGATACATTCTTTTATTGGTGTACGTGACATTGATCTTGGGGAATTGTTTTGTGAGTGATCTCGTAATCGACGAAAACCTGCATGAGCGACTAACTTTGATTTAAACGAGGTTGAACTATTTCGCTTTGAGGGGGATCATTCTAACAAAGAACAATAAGGGAGCCCGACCCCGATGGTGATGAGTTAGGCCCTTTCTATGAAGAACCAGAAGACCTTAACATTCCACCAAAAGCAGAAGATAAAGAAGAATACGGTGTGACTACAACGATTCCACACGCTACAATGCCTATTTCTTAATACCAGCCACAATCGCACTTTACAACAATTGATATAGAAGCATTCAACGCTCCAAAATTTCCTGATTCTCACACATTAAGCAATACAATGAACGTAGTGATGGTAATCTCTATGCTGGAATAGTTTTCAGGTCAATATAATATTTTAATTTTTTATTATTTATTTTGATTTATTTATTGGGAAGCTGGCAATTTTACTTACTCCTTTTACGAATGAGTTTTAGGACAAAAGAACAAGCTGTAACTGCAATCAAGAACTACAACATATGTCGCTTCCTCACATCAATTGTGAAAAAAAAAACTGATACAACTAAGTACATCGCTGAATGTCTCCACAAGAAGCAGGGATGTAATTGGAGGGTTCGTGTATCATGATTGAAGATGATAAACAACATTTGGAAACTCACAAAATACTTCAAATCACATACATGCACCACCAACATCCTGAATCAAGATATCGTAACTTGGATGTGCACGTGCTTTCTGAAGCCTTCATTTCGCTACTCAAATCAAATCCATGTGTTACGGTTGTGACCTACATTGTTTCAGTTACATCGCTATACGGGTACACAGTTGACTACAACAAAGCATGGTATACAAGGAATTGAGCCCAACAAAAATTGTTCGGCCAATGGGAGGAATCATACAATGAATTACGACCAGGTCTTAAACTGGTGCAGAAACACATTTCGGGAACAATTGTGAAATTGGAAGCAGTCTCGGCGTACGAAAATGATCGTGTTGTACAAGGTGTCTGCCAATTTTACCGGATCTTTTGGATATTTTTCACAATGCATTAATGCATTCTGACACTACAAGCCGGTTGTTCAAATCGACGACACTTGGTTATATGGTCGATACACTCAAATAATGTTATTGACGGTTGCACAAGATGACAACAGGAAAACTATACCCATCGCCTTCACAAATGTCGAAAAGGAAGATATCGACTCTTGGGAATTCTTCCTTACAAACTTATAAATATATGTTCTATCACATGTGATGCAGGATAGAGACGATGTGTGTAACACCCCCAACCCGTACCCTACCTGGATTCGAGTCCGAGGTGTCACATTGACTTTTCAAAACATTTACTTGTATAAAATAGTGAGTAATTTAAAACTTTTATACATGTAGCTTATTCCAGAGATTTCCAGAACTATTCAGAGTTTAAATGTTTTTGCAAAACCGTTCAGACATTTATTTACATGCCAACCATTTTCAATGTACAGTATACATCTAATTCAAAACATCTTTTCTGATCTGATCTTCTGTAAGAAGTAACTGACCTGTCTTGCTCCACATTGCTCTCTATATTCTTCTCGAACCTACGTGTGAAACAATCACACGCTAAGTCGATGACTTAGTGAGGCAAATAAAACATATAATAGAAATCATAAAAACATCCCATATAACAAAACACATGAACATTTAATACTAATTTATCATACAAAATCATATACCTTTTTATATAACAAAGACACTCATGTACATATATCATCATCTACTTTCTTAGCATTATCATATATATTATTATCATTATCTCTATCATTATCATCGAATTATTTATCACATAATCTTGTACTTATCCTTTCTGTATATCATATCACATATATATCATTTCACCAAAAGCATATACATTATATATATTGTATTTATGTTATCTCTTTGATTAGCCCATGGTACACTTGTGAGAACTATCGATATGTGAGTCTATAGAGGTTGTGCACTAATGCTGTCACCACAGCTCGTATCATTGCACCAAAGTGCACGTAGAATTGCATCGTAGTGCCATATAATAATGTCCATAAGGACCACAATATCACTCATATATCATTTCACCAAAAGCATATACATTATATATATTGTATTTATGTTATCTCTTTGATTAGCCCATGGTACACTTGTGAGAACTATCGATATGTGAGTCAATAGAGGTTGTGCACTAATGCTGTCACCACAGCTCGTATCATTGCACCGAAGTGCACGTAGAATTGCACCGTAGTGCCATATAATAATGTCTATAAGGACCACATATCATTCCTTAAGGACCACATATCATTCCTTAAGGACCACATATCATTCCTTAAGAATCATATACATATACCAGGGATCAAGTATGTGTCTCACAAGACTTCACACATGTTCCAAAGAATATATATATATCCCGAAGGACCACGTAGACCCTCGACTCTTGGCATGCCAACTATACCCCTAGCTCTCAAGACACAAAACATGGGCATTTTCTTTTATACTTATCATTTCACATAACACATAGTTCAATTACTCATAGAACATTTTCATATGAGTCACATTTACATGTCACATAGCTTATATACTTTCTCACGTAGTTACATAGATCCATATCATATAACATATATCCCAAAGTGCACATAATCACATATATCATATCATATAGCTTAGATCATTTCTCAGATATTCATATAAACATACATATCATATCTTGTTCACATATGATCATATATGCTTCATATAACACATAGAAACACCTAGAACACTTTCTCATAGCTTATATCAATTTTCAGAGTCCTTTCATATTACCTGATGACATATATCATATAGATATATAATAACGGATATCATATTATCTACCTTATGCTCCATTTCTTTGTATTCCCTTAGATTATAAATTATGTCGTATTTTTAAACATATATCATTTAATAGTATTTTTATTTAGGTACTAATTTAATCTCTTTACTTAATTCAATTTCATAATTTCATTATAATCTTTTCATATAGCTCCATAGATATTTAGCATATACCTTATCTTGCATATTCATATCATCCCTTTATTCAAGTTTCCTAATTGATATATTATTCCCATTTCATTCTATAATTCAATCTTATTTAGTTCCCTTAACTCTCATTAAATCAAAAGCTCTATTATACTAATTCCCATGATGGATCGTATCACTATGTACTTGTCCAACTCATGTTTACCTAGTTCATATCACTTCTCATGAACTCACTCTCATCATATTTTCTTATTCTTACATCTTTTATCTCATAACCATGTATTCACATAGTCTTATATTTCAGTATCATATTACTTATATTTGTTCTCCTATGACTCTTTATAAACATCTATTTCCATTTCCCTACATCTCTTGACTTATCTTCTATATTCATATAATTTCATAACTTATTTTATATTCTCTCATTACACTTAACCGTATTTTTACATAAACCACATAGCACATGCAAAACAAAACCTATCAATTCATATAATCCAACATACATACACTTCATATCGTTAACATACTTATAATCAAGACTTAATGAGCTATTACTATAGGAATAGACTTATCACAAGTCCAATTTCCATATAATCCTATACAATAAAATGCACTCACCTGGGCCTCGTTGTTTGAATCAATCCTAATCCTTAGTTTGTTCCAGAACAAGCTTTCATTCTATATCTACATAATAATACATTAATACTTATCAGTATACTGATTGATATATTCGAAACTATCACTCCTTAGGCTCAGAGAAAAGCCAATTTCATCTTTTAATGAAGGTATGCATCGATGCACTACTGATGCATCGGTGTATAAAATGCATTCGATGTTGTATTATTATTGGGATGCATCGATGCATGCCTTATGCATCGATGCACTAATTGCATTCGATGTTTCTATTTTAAAAGAGTGCATCGATGCATTACCAATGCATCGATACACCTTCAAATAATTTCTGGGTTTTAACCTTGATGCATCGATGCACTATGAATGTGCATCGATGCACTCTGCCCAGAATCCTCTTTTATGCCCGAAAATCCACTATTTTCAGCTTAATACCTCATATATCATCCTCTTTCTTATTTTTAACTTACATACTCATATTCAAACTCATTCCTATTCATTAATCACCTCTTGAACATCAAAATCCTATTCTCCATATGAAATTCAAGAATTACACTAAATTTTCAACATGTTCCAAATTCAATTCTATTGCTTCTAGCTTCTTAATTATACCCTTGACAAGTCAAATCCATCTTCAAAATCTATTTACTCCTTTTATTTCAATAATTCTCTTAAAAACTCTTCATATTTAATCCTCCCTAACTCATCCATTTTGAAGTTTCAACATACTTTAATATCTAAATAATCTTTCTTAGCACCCCAAGAATCAAAACTAAGCTTAAAACTCAAGAATTAACTAACTGAAATTAAACTTACCTTTGCCATGGAGCTTACGGGAAGAGAAGAGGAAGAAGATAACCCAAGCTCCAGACTTTTCTTTTCTTATCACCCTTCCACGTGTTTTATAACCCTAAAAGAAAGATAAAAATCTTTCTAGTCAAATGACCAATTTACCCTTTACTTCCTTTAATAATTACTGAATAACGTTCATCATATTTCCAATAAATCATTGAACTATTCAATTATCCTACTTTAATCACCAACTTCTGAAACTTTATAATTTGGTCACTAACCCGGTATTGAGGATGTTACAAATCTCCCCTCCTTTAAAGAAAATCCGTCCTCGAATTTTCACTGAACAAATCAATAAGAACATATCTTCTATTGTTCTCATGTTACCTCATTTACTTACTTTTTCCTTCATGTATTTCTTCAATTGCCTTTTTCCTTTATACATTTATTTTCTGTTACTTATCATAAACACAGTAACTCATAACCTCAATCCATTTCATTTCTTTATTCCATTTCTCCTTTATTTATTCCTTATACACAAATCATATCTTTCTTTTCATATTCTCATACTCTTGTCTTATCATCCATACTCATCTCTATATATTAATCTTAATTGTATTCTCATAACTTTGATAACCCATTTCTTAAACTCTTCTTATCAATCCTCAGCTTTACTCAAATATACAACTGTATCCATATTCATTTCATATTTGGTTATCATATCCTGAAAATATATATAATCTTATACTTCCAGTATATTCCCATCACATATTCTTGTTAGCCAACGCTAACGTTTTCCTTCTAGAATGCAAAACAGTATCTACATCACTTGATCCATTTAAAATACTTCTTATTCTTCACTTTATATAATTTCTAGCAAAACTCTGAATTCATTCCTCCACTTTCATATATATCTTTAACTTTTCATTCAATTATCCAGAACCAGACTCTACTACTTAAATGAGTCTGACTTTCCTCCAATTGATCTTTTATCTTGAAATACCACCAATTCCAATCAAGTTTGTAGTTGAAAATCATAATCTCTATCTCTCTTTGGTAGTGCTAATTTATGAAATACCAGTTCCCTTAATCATTCTGAGTTTTCTCCAAAACCTTAACGCAATAACCACTTTTTGAAAAGGGACCCATTTCAACACCTACAACACTCCTTTTAATCCAGGCACCAGCCCTCTACACATCACTTGCATGCATCATTTTCATTTAAATTAGCTTCACAACCTCACTCTACTCATCAAACTGTACTCTTGTCCATACACATTACGATTTCCCCTGTATCAAACTCATAAACTCTAGCTTCATATACCTTATACACTTGTCACTGATGCACTTATCCTGGAACTCTTTTGCAATTCTCACTGCATCATTTGATCTTTTAACGCTCTTATGGTGACACTTGTTCACCATATTCTATCTTATCCACGTCCTAACAAAACTAATCCATATCGTTTTTACGATTCAAAACCATGAAGATCTTCTATCACTATTCTAATATGATTTCAATCTTCTAAAATCAACCTTTAATCTTATAAACACTTTCTGAGGTTTCTGCTCTTCATCCTGCCTGGCCAGGGCAGGTGAATTGCTATCACCATCAGATTTGTCAGTTATCGATTTACTTTACTTTGACAATTTCCATAATCAATTCCTACTATCTCATACAAATCTTATTCTATTAGCAAGACAGTATACTCCTTACACTATCAGATCAGAAATTTTCACTTTTAGTTGGCATGTACACATTTTTAACCCTCCTTTGACTTCAGTTTAAGCCTAGAATCGGCTAAACCTTGGCTCTAAAACCATTAAATGTAACACCCCCAACCCGTACCCGACCTGGATTCGAGTCCGAGGTGTCACATTGACTTTTCAAAACATTTACTTGTATAAAATAGTGAGTAATTTAAAACTTTTATACATGTAGCTTATTCCAGAGATTTCTAGAACTATTCAGAGTTTAAATGTTTCTGCAAAACCGTTCAGACATTTTTTTACATGCCAACCATTTTCAATGTACAGTATACATCTAATTCAAAATATCTTTTCTGATCTGATCTTCTGTAAGAAGTAACTGACCTGTCTTGCTCCACATTGCTCTCTATATTCTTCTCGAACCTACGTGTGAAACAATCACACGCTAAGTCGATGACTTAGTGAGGCAAATAAAACATATAATAGAAATCATAAAAACATCCCATATAACAAAACACATGAACATTTAATACTAATTTATCATACAAAATCATATACTTTTTTATATAACAAAGACACTCATGTACATATATCATCATCTACTTTCTTAGCATTATCATATATTATTATCATTATCTCTATCATTATCATCGAATTATTTATCACATAATCTTGTACTTATCCTTTCTGTATATCATATCACATATATATCATTTCACCAAAAGCATATACATTATATATATTGTATTTATGTTATCTCTTTGATTAGCCCATGGTACACTTGTGAGAACTATCGATATGTGAGTCTATAGAGGTTGTGCACTAATGCTGTCACCACAGCTCGTATCATTGCACCGAAGTACACGTAGAATTGCACCGTAGTGCCATATAATAATGTCCATAAGGACCACAATATCACTCATATATCATTTCACCAAAAGCATATACATTATATATATTGTATTTATGTTATCTCTTTGATTAGCCCATGGTACACTTGTGAGAACTATCGATATGTGAGTCTATAGAGGTTGTGCACTAATGCTGTCACCACAGCTCGTATCATTGCACCGAAGTGCACGTAGAATTGCACCGTAGTGCCATATAATAATGTCCATAAGGACCACATATCATTACTTAAGGACCACATATCATTCCTTAAGGACCACATATCATTCCTTAAGAATCATATACATATACCAGGGATCAAGTATGTGTCTTACAAGACTTCACACATGTTCCAAAGAATATATATATATCCCGAAGGACCACGTAGACCCTCGACTCTTGGCATACCAACTATACCCCTAGCTCTCAAGACACATAACATGGGCATTTTCTTTTATACTTATCATTTCACATAACACATAGTTCAATTACTCATAGAACATTTTCATATGAGTCACATTTACATGTCACATAGCTTATATACTTTCTCACGTAGTTACATAGATCCATATCATATAACATATATCCCAAAGTGCACATAATCACATATATCATATCATATAGCTTAGATCATTTCTCAGATATTCATATAAACATACATATCATATCTTGTTCACATATGATCATATATGCTTCATATAACACATAGAAATACCTAGAACACTTTCTCATAGCTTATATCAATTTTCAGAGTCCTTTCATATTACCTGATGACATATATCATATAGATATATAATAACGGATATCATATTATCTACCTTATGCTCCATTTCTTTGTATTCCCTTAGATTATAAATTATGTCGTATTTCTAAACATATATCATTTAATAGTATTTTTATTTAGGTACTAATTTAATCTCTTTACTTAATTCAATTTCATAATTTCATTATAATCTTTTCATATAGCTCCATAGATATTTAGCATATAACTTATCTTGTATATTCGTATCATCCCTTTATATTCAAGTTTCCTAATTGATATATTATTCCCATTTCATTCTATAATTCAATCTTATTTAGTCCCCTTAACTCTCATTAAATCAAAAGCTCTATTATACTAATTCCCATGATGGATCATATCACTATGTACTTGTCCAACTCATGTTTACCTAGTTCATATCACTTCTCATGAACTCACTCTCATCATATTTTCCTATTCTTACATCTTTTATCTCATAACCATGTATTCACATAGTCTTATATTTCAGTATCATATTACTTATATTTGTTCTCCTATGACTCTTTATAAACATCTATTTCCATTTCCCTACATCTCTTGACTTATCTTCTATATTCATATAATTTCATAACTTATTTTATATTCTCTCATTAACACTTAACCGTATTTTTACATAAACCACATAGCACATGCAAAACAAAACCTATCAATTCATATAATCCAACATACATACACTTCATATCGTTAACATACTTATAATCAAGACTTAATGAGCTATTACTATAGGAATAGACTTATCACAAGTCCAATTTCCATATAATCCTATACAATAAAATGCACTCACCTGGGCCTCGTTGTTTGAATCAATCCTAATCCTTAGTTTGTTCCAGAACAAGCTTTCATTCTATATCTACATAATAATACATTAATACTTATCAGTATACTGATTGATATATTCGAAACTATCACTCCTTAGGCTCAGAGAAAAGCCAATTTCATCTTTTAATGAAGGTATGCATCGATGCACTACTGATGCATCGGTGTATAAAATGCATTCGATGTTGTATTATTATTGGGATGCATCGATGCATGCCTTATGCATCGATGCACTAATTGCATTCGATGTTTCTATTTTAAAAGAGTGCATTGATGCATTACCAATGCATCGATACACCTTCAAATAATTTCTGGGTTTTAACCTTGATGCATCGATGCACTATGAATGTGCATCGATGCACTCTGCCCAGAATCCTCTTTTATGCCCGAAAATCCACTCTTTTCAGCTTAATACCTCATATATCATCCCCTTTCTTATTTTTAACTTATATACTCATATTCAAACTCATTCCTATTCATTAATCACCTCTTTAACATCAAAATCCTATTCTCCATATGAAATTCAAGAATTACATTAAATTTTCAACATGTTCCAAATTCAATTCTATTGCTTCTAGCTTCTTAATTATACCCTTGACAAGTCAAATCCATCTTCAAAATCTATTTACTCCTTTTATTTCAATAATTCTCTTAAAAACTCTTCATATTTAATCCTCCCTAACTCATCCATTTTGAAGTTTCAACATACTTTAATATCTAAATAATCTTTCTTAGCACCCCAAGAATCAAAACTAAGCTTAAAACTCAAGAATTAACTAACTGAAATTAAACTTACCTTTGCCATGGAGCTTACGGGAAGAGAAGAGGAAGAAGATAACCCAAGCTCCAGACTTTTCTTTTCTTATCACTATTCCACGTGTTTTATAACCCTAAAAGAAAGATAAAAATCTTTCTGGTCAAATGACCAATTTACCCTTTACTTCCTTTAATAATTACTGAATAACCTTCATCATATTTCCAATAAATCATTGAACTATTCAATTATCCTACTTTAATCCCAACTTCTGAAACTTTATAATTTGGTCACTAACCCGGTATTGAGGATGTTACAATGTGATTTGTCTTATTTCTGACAGAGGCACTGGTATCAAATATGCACTCCAGCATATGGGCCCGTCTAGCCAACCCCTCAATATTTATCACTGTACTATTTTCGACATATTACCGCAAACTATTTGCAGAAGTTCAAGAGTCAAGATAAGCGTTTAATGGTGCTTCGAATGGGTACATCTTTCACTCTTTCCAGTTTACCATATATTTACAAAAATTATTTCAAATTAATTGTTTCACATTTTATTGATAGGTTACACACAGTTCGTACGTGAGTTTGAAAACCTGATACAGGAACTGAGACACATGAATTCTGAGGGAGTCAACTACCTTGCTAGAATCTCAAATGAGAAATGGTTTCGATCATTTGATGGGGGTAGACGGTATGGCTACATGACAACGAACTTGGTTGAGACAATAAATTGATCACTAAAGAGAGTGCGCCATTTGTCTATCACGTCCGTAGTCAAAACAACACATTATCAACTGGCAACCCTTTCCGCAACCTTGGGAAGTCAAACAGCTGACTGGATGGCAGGTGTAACACCCTCAACCCGTACCCGACCCGAATACGAGTCTGAGATGTCACATTGGCTTTTCAAACTTTGACTCTTGACAAAATTCAAAGAAAATTTAAAGCTTTCATAAAATCAAAGCGGTTTAATTACATAAATTGACCACAATAACTTTAATCGATTAGAGCATAGTTAACTCAATCAATTAGTACATGCCAACTGTATTCAAAATAACCAAACACCTTTAAATCATCTATTTTCTGATCTAAAATTTTGTAAGGGAGATGCTGACCTGTCTTGCTCTTTTTCGCTTCTCTTCTCGCTTCTGTAACCTACGTGTGAAACAATCACACGCTAAGTCTATGACTTAGTGAGGCATAAACAAACTGACTATAGCATATCATAACTAATTCCTATTATGCACATTTCATGTAATCATGATAACCCATAAAATGCATCCAAACATATATATATATATATATATATATATATATATATATATATATATATATATATATATATATATATATCAGGTACATACATATTGCTTCACAAAGAAATACCCATATCATCATATAATTCAAGTAACATATTTTCTAACCCAAAACATATAAAGAGTATGTTCTTGTACATATTATTCTTAACTAAGCTATATACACATCACCATCATATCACCTATATCATTTCACCATAAAGATTACAAACAAGGCACATAATATCATACAAGGTTCTTTTATATCATCTTCTTTATTAGCCCATGTACACATGTGAGAACTATAGATATGTGAGTCTATAGAGGTTGTGCACTAATACTATCACCACAGCTCGTATAAATGCACCAGAGTGCCACGTAGAATTGCACTGAAGTGCCACGTAGAAATGCACCGTAGTGCCATATAAGATGTCCCTAAGGACCACGTAGAAAATTTCTTAAGAATCATATACATATGCCAATGACCAAATATGTGTCTCAAAAGACCTCATACATGTTCCAAAGAATACATATATGTCCCGAAGGACCGTGTAGACCCTCGACTCTTGGCATGCCAACTATACCCCTAGCTCTCATGACACATATCATGAGCATTATCCTTTATCTTCTCTTTTTTCCATATTCATGTAAACATATCACATATTCATATAAACTCGTAGCTTCATTTACATATACATATAATCACGCAGTTCATGTAAATTCTCATATCATTTCGTATTCATATATCTCATATCATATAACATTTCTCATGTGTTCCTATAAACATGTCATACATATCAGGCATGTTTACACAACTCAATTCTATATAACTTACATGAATCTATATTCTTTTTCATATACTCATATAATCATATAATATAATATTTCATATAACCTCATATATCACATCACATAGATACATACTCCAGTACTCATAGTTACCTATCACTTAAATTATTCATATTTACATAATTCATGGTCATATAACTTCTATCACCAAGTCACTTATCTCTTATTCTCATATGTTCATATTTATCATATAACACATAAGATTTATTGCATATTTATATCGCATTCCTACATCACTAATTCATAATATAATTTATATCGTATCATCTATCTTATTCTTTATTTCTTAGTATGAACTTACATTACATAACTTATATTATACTTATAAACATATATATATATATATATATATATATATATATATATATTACTTAATTTACTTACACGTGGATCATTATCATACCTAAATCATATAACACCCAATTATTCCTCATAAAGTTATACTATATATTCATATAATCTCATATTATCCTATAAGTAAATACTTATCTTATGGTTTGATATCATCATTTATAATCAATTCCCTTCACTAATAAATTATTCTCATATTACTATATAGTCTAATCTTATTTAACTCATCACCTTTCTCATGTAGTCATATAAATCTATTATATTGATTCCTATAATTGATCACGTATACTATGTAACATATATGGTCACCTATCACATAACTTATTTCACATTCCCATGTAATCATATAGATCATTCATATTAATTCCTATAATTTATCACAATACATATATTCACACAAATCATTTAATACATACTGTAATATATATCACATATACCCAAATCAAACATATGCATATGATCATAAATTCATGCATTCTAATATAGGAAATAGACTCGTCACAAGCCTTATTTCCATTAAATATCATAAACTAACTTGTATACACTCACCTTGGCCTCACTAAGTTCCAATCCCCTTTTATGATTTCTTTTCTTCTGATCGAATCTTAACTTGAGGGTCATCCCGTAACTTGTTCGTGCTCGATATCTACATGTTTATACATTGATACATATCAGTATTCCATGGATATACTCTAATCTATCATTTCTTAGATCAAAAGAAATGTCTATTTCAATTTCCCTTTGAAGTGCATCAATGCATTCTACAGTGTATCGAAGCATCCTTTAACATGTGCATCGATGCACTCCTTATACATCGATGCATTAATTACATTCGATGTTTCCATTTTTAAGGGTGCATCGATGCACTTCCTATGCATCGATACACACTGAACAATTTTTGGAATTTTACCCTTGATGCATCGGTACACATTGAATGTGCATCGATGCACATAGCCCAGAACTGTCATTTTTGCACGAAAATAATCAACTCTTCCCTTAATTATTCTATTTTAAGCCCCTATTATGTCATTAAACTCGACTACCATTACTTGAACCAACTTATATCCATGTAAATCATCTTTAACCTCAAAATCCTATCTTTCTTATGAAATTCAAGAATCATACTCAATTTCTAACATGTTCCAAATTCCATTTTATTACTTCATATCTCTTAATTTAATTGATGACAAGTCAAAATTAAATTCCAATTCAAGTTATGAACTCTATTCCAAGATTTCTTCCAAGAACCTTAAATCTTTAATCCCTCCTAACTTCATCATACTTTGATTTTAAGATAACTTAAGCTTTCCTTAAGCTTAGTTATCATCTAATAATCAAAAATCAATCTTAAATTTAACCAAAAACCCAATAATCAGAAAACTCACCTTTGACTCTTGGTTTTCACTCGTGAAGGAAGAAGAAAGATGAAGAGAACTCTGGAACTTCTTTTCCCTCTTCCCACGTGGTTTCATAATCTTATAAGGGAAAAATAAAAATATTCCTTATCAAATGACCATTTTGCCCTTTACTTAATCTAATAATTACTAATAACTTTTATGATTTATTTCCAAATAAATCATTGAACTAATCCATTGTTCTACTATAGTCACCAAATTCTGAAACTTTACAATTTGATCACTAACCCGGTATTGAGGATGTTACAGCAGGTGCTCACCAAATCCATCAGACCTCATCAAAAAATTGCAAACATTCAAGCATCATTCCAACGTGATGAGTGTCATATGTTTCTCTCGCAAAATGTCATTATTCTGTGTATCAGAATTTGCGAAGTCATTGGAAGGCATACAACACAACGCATACGTGGTTAATTTACAAGAGAAAACATGCGAGTGCAGATTCTTCCAAACTTTCAAATATCCATGTGCACACACTATTGCTGTGGATGCTTCTGTTCGGATACCCTACATGAGATTCGTTGATCGGATTTACTTACTTGAAACTATATTCAAGGTTTATGAATACGAGTTCCCTCCCATTGGAAATGAATGTGATCCAGATAAAGCTGATAATGAACCTACAATAAATCCAGATTATGCATTACGATGAAAAAACCGATCGTCCACGGTCAACCCAAATTTTTTTGTGACGAGGATTTGGTCGAACATCAAGAAAGAACTGAATAACTAAAATTATGACTTATATGTAGGAATCCCAAACACACGAAGAACAAATGTCCCAATTGCTCAGGCCCACGTATCAATTAAATAAGCTTTTTGCATTATTTTTTTTATTAACAACACATATTACTCATATTTACAAGCCAGAAATAACATTTCAATATGTATATAAAACTATTTTTTTCTTTTTCCTTCACAAAACCATGATCTCTAACCATTTTCAACATCATTTTTACTCCGCTTAAAATGTCTTATATGTGTTGATATTATAGTCACCTTAAAGATAAATTACAACACTACACATTTATAATTAAAAATTAAAAAAATTAGTTTCCCACTCGGAAATAGTATCCGAACAAGGCTATAGACATTAAAAGGGAGGATAGAGAATCTATTGTCCTCGCGCTTTACAGGCGACAAGATCCCCATAAATCTCGCGATATTTTGGATCATAATGATTACCTCGCGCTCTGCAATGCACGATGTCATTTTATCTAATTATTTTACTGCTTACCTGGAAAGTGCACCCACGTCGGATGTATCTCACGTGTTAGAGGATGCAATGATTTAACACATGGTTTGCAAGCCATAAGATTATCTGTGGACGATTTAAGTGTTATTCTTCCAAATAATTTATGGAGTCTCTATTTCTTTAAATAAATAGTTATTTGAGGTTTTTAATATGAAATTACCTATTACCAACGTATTGCAGCTGATTTTAGTAATTAATATATTTAATTTTATTAAAACTTCTCGAAAATTAATTTCAATCAGTCCATGTTTGCCGGCAAGTTGCTGATGTGATCTTTGCTTGCCTAATTCGATAAAATTACGCTTAATTTTTTAAAAGATTATAATTAAATTTCAACGTGGTATAATTATTTTGTTTTTTAGTTAAATATATTATTTTAAAATTAAATATTAAAATTGCATCCATATAAAAATGTAACCCTTTGGTTCAAATTTTAAAAAAAATGAATTAAATAATATTTAATATATTTTTATTCAATTTCAAAATATACGTGATTGATTGAACAAATTTTATAATGAAATATGATTTTAAAAATATAAAATTGATGAAGTGCATTTTTATTGAATTTTGAGCCATACATAATCAAATTTACATTATTAAATTCTAAAATAAAAAAATTAAACAAAATTTGACCAAAAATATTTATGAAGTACGTTGATTTTTTATTTTTTTAATGTATATATATGAATCTTATCTTTAATCACTTAATATATAATATTATATTTAAACAATTAAAAAATAATTTTAATTAACATAAAATTTGACGAGATTTGTATTACCAATTTTTTTATTAATTAGATATTATCTTTTCAAAGTTTAAATTTATCTTTTAGATATATGTTAATTAAATGATTAAATATATATATATATATTATCGTTTCTCGACCTATGGTACACAAAAGCAATTTTGGTAAGTTTGAATGTTATGTTGACAAAAATATATGCGATAATCTTTTACTTTTAGTGTTCCATTAAAAATTTTGATAACTAATTAAAAATAAATATTATTTTACATTTAATTTAAAAACAATACATTTCATAAGCAATTCACAAATATAAACATGCAAATCATACATAGAAGCAAAAAATGGGTAACGAACAAACAAATCACAAATCACTGAAATTTCATAAGCAAATCGCTTGAATATCAAGTTTGTCATATTAGTCAAACTTGTCAACTTGGTAAAATTGGTCAAATCGATCAAACTTGTTAGAATGTATATATGCACAAATAATCGGGTATCCGATTAGTCCCGTGCCACTCATGGCCGCTAATTAAACTAATCTCCAGTGTAATAATTTTTTTTAGAGCATACAACTAGTCAAATAATCTCGGGTGTCCGAATTATTTTTCCGAGCACCACACATACCCACAGGTTAGGTTAGACCCCGAAGGCTGCATGCAAACAAAACATCAAATAGCTAATCACAAGTATAAGACAATGACATTCAAAGTCTTATGCTTATTCCAAACTTGCAAGGTATAGTATGCTTGGGTATATCTTGGCCATTTAAGGTTTACAAAATCATAAATCACGACTAAAATATTAATCATTTAACTATGATAACTTGCACTATCTTTAAAGAGGGCGATGTAATTAATAATCTACAATTCCAAATCATATTTTGTTGGCTTTATAAGAAATTAGATTCAATAATCTTTCCCGCCATATAAATTAAAGATTTTAATTTAACTCGTACAATTTATGGTAAATTTTGAAAGACGCTATCCTTGTTGTGTAGTGAAGGAAGGTGATGAAATTTCAAAGGTTAAAAAAATGGAAGGTAATACAGAGTCAAGTAAGGATCAGGTTTTTTTTGTAACTCTTCAATTCTAAACACTCATCACTTCTTTACCAAACCATTGAATATATGCTTATAAACTTACTTCCTTGGAGATAATGCTTCATCATTGACTTGAGTTAATGCTTCAACATTGACTTGAGAAATTCGGGCCGTTACAAACTTAACGTTTCATCCCACTGATCAAATGATCTAAAATTGGACTTATACCTTTGGAATTTTAAAATAAAACGTGCAGACAGACACAAACCAAATGATTTTAGTAGTTAAGAGATTTGTTGTTATTCATCAAGGCTCCAGATTTGAGCATCGTGTATGCAGGAATATGAGTATTCATTGTCAAAGAGTTGAGAATCTTTGAATAAATATTACCTGATATTCATCCTAAAATTATATAAAAATAAAAGAAAACTCATGGAAGGTGGCTAAGTAGCTCATTAACTTCCACCCAAATCAAATTCCAAATATCGTTGACAATTCAGCTGTCTGTTATTTGAGTTTGTATGGCTTAAGGATAACCTTATTTTTTTTCTCCTTTCTAAATTTATCCATTTCTCTTTCTTTCACTCATTTTTAATCAAATGGTGGTAATTACAAAATTGAAATAAGATCAGGGTTTATTCCATTCCCTACCTTTTCAAATATTTTTAATAAAATAGTGTTCAATATACAAAATTATCCTTTTACCACTCAATTTAATTAGTTTAGCTCATATATTTTTAGTTTTAATCTTTGTTTTTTTAATTGATTTGATAAATATATTATAGTTTAGTAACATTTTCTTGTCATTTTTTTAAAATATATAAGTTCTTTTATCAATTTCGTCTACATCATCGGAAAGTTCAAAAAATATTTAAAATGATAAAAATAATTGATAACAACATTTCTACAAAGGCGTATTAAGTATTTTTAAATTCTTTTATGATTAATAAAAAATGATAAATATCTAACGTCAATATTTTAATAAAGAAAAACATTATTCTATTATATTTAGACTAATTTCAATAAAAAATAAAAATTTAAGAATCAAGAAAAATATAGTAAAAGTTTAATGATAAAATAATTAAATCCACAAAGATAAAAGGTATAACATATCATTTCTTATTTTAATAGAAAGATGCTATATTAAAAATAAAAAATATTCATAATTATAATAAAGATTTACAAGTATAATAATAAATTAAAATATAATTAGGATATTTTTATATAACCATTGACACAAAAATTAACCACTTAAATCACACAAGGATCAAAGAATGGAAAGGTTAAAATACCTAATAAAAACTCGAATAAAATAAAGATACAAACAAATATGACTGCATTGACAAACAAACCACAAAAAGGGATGAAACTATTGAAAGATCACCGACAAATCGCAAATAAGAGTCGTGTGACGTGAAAAACTATATACGAACGCAAAACACGTTTCTAAATCAATCTGCGGGTTCTAAATAGGGAATATCAACATGATAACAAATAAACACCGTCTTCATCAGTTGTAACGATGTCAAAATTCAACCCTAAGAAAAAATATAAACAAAAACAACGACTAAACAACCAAAAACTACCAAAATGTATAGGAAAAAAGTGTCACAAAGACAGAGATAACGTGTCACAAAGACAAAATTATTTTTATTAAAAACTAAAAAGGAAACAAAGAGAAAAGAGAACCAACGATCGACAATCAACATTAAAATTGATACCGTCGTCGGCTAAAAAATTAAAAAAAAAAATTTGATCTATAAATATGAAAAAAAGAAAAGGGAAAAAAAAGGGAAAGTGTGGCTGGAATTTTTTTACTTTGTCTTCTTAAACAACAATTATCCTGATTTATTTTATAATTTTTTATAGTGAACAAATATATATAAACATATATACATATGTTTAATGCATCTAATGACCAAATGATATTGTTGTTTGAGAGTTCCAATCTAGGATGTAGAAACGTCTGCTTTCTATTTAACCTTTCCCACTTCAATCCCTTTCCTTACAATTTCCTTTAATTAAAATGTGCTTCTCCCCTTCCTCTTCGCTACTTCTCATATTTTTTACATCTTATCTCTTCTGCTCCTATATCTATAACAGTAAGCAAAGCACAACAGGTTTCTACTTTCATTAACTGACAATTATGGGTCCTGAGTCAGCTCGGTCTGACACACTGTCGAGCAATAAGGAAATGGTGATCATAGAAGAACTCGTTAATGGTAAACACTGTGCTACTCAGCTTCAGATTCTTTTCAACAACAATCCCTCTGAAATGAGTGTGCGTCTCTCGGCTCAGCAACTTGTGCACAAGATCTTCACAGCTTTCGATCACTCACTTTGTCTGCTGAGTCGTGTCGAATCTGCCGAGGTTTCTCGCAATCAGGCAAATGAAGATTCCACTGAGAGCAGGAAGAAGAAGAGACTTGCATCTAAGGAAAAGAGAGGCTGTTACAAGAGGAGGTATTGAAAAAAAAAATAACACGTGTTCACACGTAGATTGTAATTTTAATCGATCGGGTGTTTTTTTGGTTGCAGGAAAGCTGGACAGACATGGACGGTGGTTTCTGCAACTGTGGAAATGGAACTTGTAAAGGAAAGCTAATGAAGTGGTCCAAATAATCATGAAACAGGGGCTATTTTAGGTGCACTCGTAGGTTTGATCAAGGTTGTAGGGCCATTAAACAAGTCCAAAGAAGGGACGATGGTTCCCAAACGTATCAGATCACTTATATCGGAACCCATACATGCAGACCAGACTCATCCCAAATCATCAAAGACAGGGAATCTCGTGAACCTTACAATATCCTAAGCAAAAAGTTGCATGATCCTCAACCTCAATTCAATCCATCTAACACTTCAACCGTAAAGAAGAGACGAAGAGTGGTGTTACGGACATGAATTCGGCTATCACGTGGAAGGATATAATCGGTGCCGATTATGGGGATGTGGTGTCTAACGTGTATTCGAGCACTGAAATCACTTCTCAGAACTTGGAGTTGGACCTTGTGATTGAGTTTGAAGATGATTTTCAGTTTGATGAAAGTGAGTTGTAATCTGTATTGTGGAATAGTAATCACCATTGAAACCATTTCCAAGGTGTGGAAATGCATGTATTTTCCACCGTAATCTTCAATTAATTTATGCCAAGCAATTGCATGGTCAATTTCCATGCTTGACTAATCTTTGTGTGCATTATATATACAAACTATTAAGTATATATCCACAACATAGGCACCTTCTACCCTCACAAATATGAACAGTCAAACTTATTATAGAAGGTAGCATGGGGATGATAAAGTATAAAATGAAGCAACCCAGAGGATTTTTTACATGTGGATATTGGTCAACATAGATATCAATTGCAAAGATATTTTTTAGCACATGCAAAGATTGATAATCAATTTTAGACCTTGGATTCATTACAAATAATCTTATTTTTTTAGAATTGATATAATTTAGTTTTACTGTTATGAATCAACTTCTTTATTTACATGAATTTACTTGTTCAAATAAAACAAGTTGGACTTCACTGATGGGAATTGCAAGAAGGAAGATTATGCTGATTCGTTGCATTCTCAATGGGAGCGTTGTAATGCAATAGCGCTCTCATGGATTCTTAACTCAATAAGCAAGGAGCTATCAGCTGGGATAGTGTTTGCTTCCAGTGTTGCTCTTGTTTGGAGATATCTCAAGGAAAGATTCGATAAAGTGGATGGTTGTAGGGTATATTTTCTGTATCGAGAAATTGCGACCTTATATCAGGGTGAGTTAACTGTTTCCTCTTATTTCACACGCCTCAAATTGTTGTGGGATGAGTATCATACGCTCATCCCTTTCACTACTTGTGAGTGTGAGATTTCGCAGAGTAATCTGAAGCACATGATACAGCAACAACTGTTCCAATTCTTGATGGGTCTCAGTGAGACATACTCTGCAATCCGGAGCCAACTCTTATGGATGCAACCAATTCCAAGTGTGAATCAGGCGTATTCGATGGTTATTCAAGAGGAATCGCAGAGGATACAATTGCCAGGCATCATGCCCTTTCCCGAAACAACTGTCAATCACTCAATTCCCAATGGTAATTCAGATCGAAAACGCTTTAATGGTGTTTGTGATTACTTTAAAATCCGTGGTCATAAGCGTGAGAATTGCTATCGACTCATTGGCTACCCTGCTGACTTCAAGTTCACAAGGAAGAAGGGGTCGGTTGTGGCCAATTGTGCAAAGTCTGAATCTGATAGTTCTACTTATACTGAAGACTCGATTCTTGCTTCGGTCACATCTGCTGCTCCACCTCTCTCACTAAGGAACAGTACAACCAGATTCTAACACTTTTGAGCAAGGTGCCTACAATTGAATCATCAGCTAATTTGGCAGGTACTGTCTCTAGTTATTTTTCTATTTTTGGAAAGTCTTCTCATTAGATACTAGACATAGGGGCGATACAGCATATGTTGTCTGATTACCAAGATTTAGAATATCCTATTCTATGTTCCTCTGATTCACGTTTTGTACATCTTCCTAATGGCAGTTCTGTCCCTGTTCATTCCATTGGTTCTTATGGTTTTCCATATGGTCATACACTTTCTAATGTTTTTTTGTTCCAACTTTAAGCATAATCTCCTGTTTGTTTCGAAATTGACCAAAGATTTGAATTGTTCAATTACTTTCTTCCCTAATCACTATGTCTTACAAGAACTCTCCAGTGAAAGGATGTTGGGGATTGGTAAAGAACATCAAGGGTTATACCTGTTTGATTCTACCAGTTTTTCCCTTTGGTTTGTCATTACCTGCTCCTTGTAGTTCTGTTTCAGTTTCTCCATTTCAAAGTTTTATACCTACAAACTAATTAGAAGTGATAATGGTACTGAATTTTTCAGTTCAGACTGTTCCAGTTTCTTTCACTCTTTAGGAATCATTCATCAATCTTCTTGAGTTAGAACTCCTCAGAAGAATGGCATAGCTGAAAAGAAACATAAGCACCTTCCTGAAGTAGCCAGAGCTTTAAAATTTTATTTCAAGGTACATGTCAAGTTCTGGGGAGAATGTGTCAGGACTGCGTGTTATCTTATTAACAGGATGCCTTCCTCTGTCCTACACCATAAAAGTCCTTTTGAAATATTCTATAATCAACCACCCAATCTTTCTCATTTTAAATATTTGGTTGCCTTTGCTATGCTACCCAAATCAACCCTCAAGATAAATTCTCAACAAGAGCTATTCCCTCGGTTAACATGGGCTACTCTTCAACTTATAAGGGTTACATATTGTTCAATCTTGAAAAATAATTATTTTTTGTTAGCAGAGATGTTCAGTTTCATGAAACCATATTCCCTTTTCACTTTCCTCTTAAACTTTTTCTTTCTTTCCTTCACAACAAAGTTATCCTGACTCTGAATTTTTGCATCTTGGCCCTGTACCTTTACCTGAAGTCTCAATTCCTCTTTCTTCTCCTTTTTTACTCGATGGTGATCTTCCATCTGTTGATATTGTTTCAAACCCCATTTCTACTCCATCTAACATTCATGTCCCTCAGTCTTGTGTTCCTTCACCCACTGACATCATTCCTATAGCTTCATCAGATGCACCAACTCTACCTCTTGCCCAAACCAGGAAATCTACTCGTGTTCAAAAACCACCAAACCGGTTACATGACTATGTATGTTCTTGCTCTTCCTCAGCACTTTCATGTCAGTATCCCATTTCTTTAAACATTTCTTATTTCCATTTGCCATTACAAACTTACTCTTTTTTGTCCTCCATTTCTTCTTTGACTGAACCAAAAACATATTCTGAGGCTATCAAACATCCTGTTTGGGTCAAGGCCATGGAAGAAGAGATTCATGCCTTGGAATTGAACAAAACATGGTTTGTTGTTCCTCTGCCTCCTGGTAAGACACCCATTGGTTGTAATTTTTTTTTTGCATCAAATGCAAGGTTCCAGATGAAGTGGAAAGGTACAAAGCACGCCTTGTTGCCAAAGGGTACAGCCAGCAAGAAGGAATTGATCATGGAGATACCTTCTCCCTTGTGGCTAAGATGACTACAGTCGGCTGTTTTAGCTTTAGCATCCATTTCTCATTGGCCTCTTTATTAGCTGGATGTTTTCAATGCATTTCTCCAAGGTGATTTAGTTGAAGAAATCTATATGACTTTACCTGAAGGTTTCTACAGCCAGGGGGAGTCTCGGGTTTGTAGGTTGAAGAAGTCTCTGTATTGGTTGAAGCAGGCTTCAAGACAGTGGAACTTGAAGTTGACAGAGGCTTTTCTTACTGCTGGATACAAACAGAGAAAATATGATTATTCCCTTTTTACAAAAAATGAGGGAGTTAAGATAGTCGTATTACTTATTTATGTTGATGATTTGGTTATCACTAGGAATGATGAGACATTGATATTAGAATTGAAGGAAATTCTTAATCGAATTTCAAAATGAAAGATTTAGGAAGTTTGAAATATTTTCTGGGATTGGAAGTATTAAGGTCTAAGGAAGGTATAATCCTTAGTCAAAGGAAATACGTTTTAGAGCTTTTTGAAAGTGGAATAGGTGAGCAAAGCCTGTTCTAACACCTATTGAACAAAACAGAAAGTTTACAACAGCTGAGTATGATCAAGGGATAAGAGATGACTGTAAAGATCCAGTGTTGAAGGATAAATCAATGTTACAAAAGATGATAGGCAGACTGATTTATCTGACACATACCAGACCTGATATAACATATGATGTGCATCATCTAAATCAATTCATGCATTAACCCAAAGAAAGTCATCTCGAAGCAGCTCTTAGGATGGTAAGGTATATCAAAGGCAGTCCTGGACAAGGTATCTTACTAAGTTCTTCAAGTATGCATGCATGAATTAGTTGCTTATTATGATTCAGATTGGGTGTCTTGCCCGATGTCGAAAATCTATTACAATTTTTTGTGTTAAGTTGGGAAATTGTCTGATTACTTGGAATGCAAAGAAGCAGAACACTGTGGCAAGATCTTCTACAGAAGCAGAGTATGGCTACAACAACATTTGAAATTGTTTGGCTTGATGGTTTGCTGAAAGAATTGGGAATGAATTTGAAACAATCAGCTAGATTACTATGTGACAGCAAGGTTGCTCTGCAAATAACAACAAATCTTGTTTTTCATGAGCGCACTAAGCACATTGAAATAGACTTCCATTTCATCAGAGAGCAAATTCAAAAAGGATTGGTTCAAACTGAACATGTTCGGACCAAAGAGCAACTGGCAGATGTGTTCAATAGGGCATTGGGGATTCAACAGCACCATTACTTGATGTCCAAGTTAGGGTTTAAAGATGTTCTTCAACCTCCAACTTGAAGGGGGTCTTGAGATTAGAAGTAGTTAATTAGTTAATAATTGTTGTTAGGTAGTTAATTCTTAACCGTTTATTGATTACTTGTATATTATACTTTATATAGTTGATTTATCAATAGATGAGATGATTTTTTTCCAG